CTTCTTTGGCTTCTTTGATGTTGGCGTATAATGTGTTAAGCCCTCTTCTAATTATTGTTTTGTTTGTGCCTTAAAATTATCATTAAATGAGATGTTGTAATTATTGTTTTTTTTCGTTTTCTTCTTTTTCTTTGGAACAGTAACTAATATACTGCGCCGTTTTTTGTCCTTTTATTAAGTTTGTGAAGGTCTTTGGGTGTTGATAATACACTGATTGCCGTCATAACGATATGTCAAAAAAAGTGTTTTTTTAAAGATTTTTCTTTTTTATTCCTTTGTTGTTGTGGGTGCTGTTGCAACTGTTGCATTCTGTTTTGTTGGAAATTAGTCGAACTCTGATGAGCCTCCTAAGTGAATAGATGGGACGATAATGATTTGGCGAGTTTTTTGTTGCCCATCTTTGCAGTTCTCGTATTCTTTGGGCAGCTCGCGATAACCTTGTGAACAATTATGTTTTAGTGGTATTGATTTTGAAGTCAAGAAAAGCGATACAGAATTTATTACCGTCTACATCTTGAACTGGTATTATGCTACAGAAAGTTTTATTTCATCTTAAACCCTCGCTCCTCATCGCCCTCTTTCTTTTTCCACTTTCCTTCCTTTCCACATTTTTCTGCTACCTCCTTCCAAGTTTTAAATTTTCTGTAAACTTCAAAACAACAAATTTCGTTTGTATGTTTTTTACCGGAACTAAGCATGTTTGTTCAAAGTTTATTTGTTATTTGTTCTAATTGAAATTTTAGCTTTTTTTCCTGCGCACATCACTTCTCAAACATTATGAAACTAGTATAAGCGTTGGTTTTTTTTGTTTACTACTATACTGTCCCTAGAAAATAATTTTAAGAAAAGTTTGGTAAACAGTTGAGGATGAAAAAAAAGAAGAATACTGCAACTTCTTTTTTGGTATTTTTGGTTGAATATGGCAACTTGAAGTATTTTTTTTAGTAAACTGCTGTCAATAAACAAAATTTCCAGCTGTGTTTTTGCGCGCTCAAACTGTTGCAGTAAAAGATTGAAAAGTTTGTCGGGAAACGACTGTTTCAGAGTCATATAACGGGCAAATTGTTGTTTATAGTTGCCATTGTCGGTTGCAATTGATGGCGCTATTAAGGCTGAGAAATTCAGATTTTTTTTTCCAATATTGTTACATTCATTAGTCTTTCCAAGAAATTAATTCCCAAAATTAATGTAACATTTTTAGAAAAATTTTGTATTGATCTCTTCCCGATATCACTTAAACGTATTGTCTGACTGCAGATGCAGATAGAGCTGATTTGTGTCACTATTTAAAGACAAGCATTTGAACATAAGGACAGTTAAATTAGTGGGAAAATTTAATTGAGTCTCTTTCAGTTATGCTTTTGAATGATGTAATTTTTTTTTTAATGATTATCCTCGACAAATTCATATATTTTAATAATTTTTCGGGTCTGTTTGTCGTTTTCTTAAGTTACATATTGCATAACATGGGATATATGAGGAATTTGAAGCGTATATTAGAATAACAAGAGTTACAGGTTTTTCGCATTTCCACTGATTTTTTTCCTTTTGCATTAAAAGCTTAAACGATCAATTGTTTTTCATGCACTCAACAACTTATCACCTGGCACTTGTTGGGCAACTGGCTGAGCTTAATTTACTCTTAATTGAGTTAGTAAGTTGTGCAAAACTGCAAGAGTTATGTTGTGCCTGCCTACATTGAAATTCCTCGTTCCTTTTTTTTTTTTGTAGTTTTTCTTTTGCAAAACTGATTTATTCAAGAAAAATCGTTCTCTTGTTTTTATTTGTAAACGTTTAATACAATTTGTTTTCCTGGCAAAAGAATACACGAACTTTTTTTTGACTTTAATTTTGGCTTGATTTTGCAGTCACTTATCACCGTTGGTTTTTGAAACTGTACTTTACGTTTCCCACTTATTTCGTTTCTTTGATGTATCATTACACTACCATTATTATGTTATTACGTCCATTTCGGTAATTTATGCTGTAACAGCAGTATGCTGAGCAGCAAAACATTCATTTAAAATTTTGATGATCAAATATCATCATTAAAATTTTTTCTCGAAAAAAGATTACGAATTTCACTTTCAGTTATTTGAAACAAGACTTCGATTTTTAAGGAATTTTCAAATTCTCTTTTTCAGACCTATTTTTTTTCTGACAGAAATGAACATGAGTTTTTCTATTCACTAAAACAAGTTTAAGTGTTCATCGTATTTTATTTGTTGTTTGAAATATTGAAAAAGCCTAATCAAATCAGTTTTGGTAATACAGAGGAATGGGTGAAGAAGAAGAGAAAATCGAAAAGGTTACTGTTTCTCAGGATGAATATTCGGGTCTCATCGGAGATATAGCTGGACAGTTTTTGCAAGATAAGATTGGTGGAGCTGGAGGCCAAATCATTGGAAACCTTGTCAGAGGTGGCGCTGATTCAGGAGGCGGTTCAGGTCACTTACCGAATACCGATATTAATTCTTATCTTTTTTTTCTTGATTATTCTTGTAAAGGACTATTTTATCGGTTACTTAGGTATATTTAGGCGGGTTTGATATTGGGAACGTAATTGGTAACGCGATTGGCGGTAATGCAGGTTCTGGAATTGGCAGCGTGCTTGGTGATTTAATTGGGGGAGGTAATAATCTTGACATTTTTTTGTGCTCTGAAAATGTAGTAGAAGTCTTTGTTATGAACAAAAAAAAATGTATCAATCATTTTTAGGAAATAGTGGCGGCAGAGGTAACCAGCCCTCTGGTGGTGGATATAACAGTGGGGGACGTAATGATGGTGGTAGTGGAGGTGGTCTTGGTGATATCTTAGGCAATCTCATTGGTGGTGGCGGTGGTGGTGGCTATAATGACAGTTATGGAGGAGGTGGCGGCGGCGGTCGTTCCAATATGTCTGGAGGTGGAGGAATTGGTAGTCTGATTGGCGATATTTTGGCCGGCGGTGGCGGTGTTAATAATGGTCGATTTGGAGGCGGTGGAGGTAAATCTACGTTCATCGACTTCAATTAAATTTTCAGTCAGTTTATTAAAGCTCACTTAAATACGTGAACGGAAATCTTACTGTAGTGTGTTCCAGGTGAGAATGTCCCTATGAACGCTTTAAAGGGAGGAGTTATTGAGTTAATCTCAGACTTTGTGGGACAAGCTGCTCATCGCTTTCTGGGCGTTGATCCTGCAACTGGTCGTATTATTGGATCAGTTGCTGGTAACGTTCTGTTTGAACTTGGTGGAAAGGACAATAAACTTTCGGACATTGGCAAAATCATTCTTGATAACATCATCAGTGGCAAAGGACGTAAAAATGTTTGTTTTAAGTCACTTACCTAGATCAGCTGCTTAAGTGAAGTGAAGTCTGAAACAATGCTGCATCTTTGTTGGTCATTGCAAACGCATTATCTGTAGGTGCAACCATATGTGCCTCGTGATCCCGTCCCGATACCACCACCACCTTCACCAACCCGAAAATTGTCAGCGGTAGATTTCTATGATGCACGAGACGAGTGTCTGAAGGTATGAAATATTTGTGTAATTAATCTATTTGAGATTATCTTCTTAATAAGTTTTTTTAGACTGGTCGTCTTTATGAAGATCCTGACTTTGTAGCGGGCGATTCAAGTCTCTTTTACAGTCGGCGACCACCGAAGTACATCGAGTGGAAACGTCCAGGGGTTCCTACTTATGTTTTATATTTTTGAGTGTTACCTAGAGCTTTATAAAAATTTTCCCCAACTTTATTAACTTTGGTAAGTGGAAAACGTTGTAGGAAATAATCAACGACCCTATGTTGATTTCGGAAGGTCAGTCTCGATTTGACGTTATACAAGGTGAACTTGGAGACTGTTGGTTGATGGCAGGAGCTGCTAATGTCACACTTCGTGATGAGCTGTTCTTCCGTGTTGTACCACCAGACCAGAGTTTCACTGAGAATTACGCAGGTTTTGAAATTTTCCTTAAAAAGTTATTTTATAATGACCGTTTTTGTTGCCAAAATTTATAATTATAAAGTTTTTTTTCACAGGGATCTTTCACTTCCAGTTTTGGCACTATGGTGAATGGGTAGACGTGGTAATTGATGACCGTTTACCAACATCAAATAATGAGTTGCTATACATGCATTCTCGAGCAAACGACGCCTTCTGGAGTGCATTACTTGAGAAAGCCTATGCAAAGTTAGTTTTCTTTACTATAAATTAAAAAAATTTCTCACTATTTTACCTTAAAAACGAATTGATTTTTTTTAGACTGCATGGAAGTTATGAAGCACTGAAAGGTGGAACAACATCGGAAGCTTTGGTTGACATGACGGGTGGACTCACAGAATTTGTTGATTTGAAGAGACCGCCAAAGAATCTTTTGCAGATGCTGTTTAGAGCATTCGAAATGGGTTCACTCTTTGGTTGCAGCATTGAAGTAAAGGCTTTACATCTCACAGATTTATTGTAACCAATCAAGAAGACGCTGTTCCTCAAAAGATTCTGACTTTTACAATTTTTTGCCATCGATTAATATTTCAAAAGTCAAGTTTCCTGCTAAATAAGTTATTCATTCATCTGTTCTCACTATAATTAACTTCTAAAATTTCTTTTTAAGATTACAGTTTTTTAGTTGAATATACTTATAATTTTTAAGGCTCAACCGAACGAATTTGAAGCTCGTACTCCACAAGGCCTAGTCAAGGGACATGCCTACAGTATTACCGGAATGCGAACGGTAGATAGTATTAGTTTGTAATTCAGTCTAAGGTTTTTTTTTT